ATTAGTAGTGATCATTAAATAAATTCCTCGTTTTATCGATGAAGTGAGTGAACAGAGTGAATGTTGTGTTTTGAAACGTGAAACGTGAACCATAAGAAAGTGGAAAAACTTTTACTCGATATGGATCTGTCTCATCGCGGAAGAGAGAGAGAGAGAGAGAGAGAGAGAAAGAAAGAGAAAGAGAGATGCGTATACGTATTTGTGTATCGTGAGTATCAGCTGATTGTAGCAGGCGCCTCACCGCGTGAACACTCGCGTGTAACGTGAGTTGCGACGCCTCTGCTTGTTTCTTGTACTCGACTCACGATACGCTAACTATTTTCTTTTATAACTTGAAAATTAAGCTCTGCACAAACTTTTGCCAAAGGAAAAGTTGTCAGAATACGCTCAGAAATATGCCCCTTTAAGAACATACGGTTATTTTGAATCACCCTGTATATGTGTGTGTATATCTAATTATACTAAATATATGTCTGAAATAAATAATAAAGAGAAATTTTCAATAAAATATTAAAATAATATTAAATTATTTTTACAATTATTTATATTTCTACAAAATTATTGTAACTTAAAAAAATCACAAGCATTTCATAAAACAATGCATATTTTTATAAAAAAAAGACATATCACTTTAATGATATGCAATACAAAATTATCAGAACACGTTTTTATTTTACGCAAACGTTCCATAAAACTGAAATTTTCGAAATCCGACATTTCATACATAATAAGTCAATTTTTTTCTACTTGTAAATCATTTTCTTGTTATCCGCTATAATACTTTCTTAGTTTATGGAGTTGATAAGAGGAATTGGTTCAGTAATACACAAATCTAACTTTATTCACATTTTTTTTGTCATTTCTTTCCGCTGAATCATCGAGGAAATGATTTTGAGAGAACAGAAATCTCTGCAATACGAATAGCAATTACAGGTAAATATGTACAATAATATATAATAAGTGATGGTTGCCCTTCTTTTTCTTCTTCAAAAATCGGCTCGCTTCGTTTAGCGACAATCAATCCATCAGCATTTTAATCCTAATAAATCGCAAAAACCAATCTAATCTCTCACACGCATCCATCTCCATCTTTAGCATTAATCACTATCGATCATCGAATATCGCGACAGTATCGACGAATTGACAGAAAATGCTCTTCTAATACAAATCATCAACTTTCAAATCACTAATCAAACTCTCATCATTTCGGAATCATCGCGCAAAACTCACGCCATTCAATTAATTTCAACGATGCAAGATGTTTAAGCATTTCTTTAAAAAATTTTCTTATAATAATTTTAATAATTTTTTTTTCAATTATTTAGATTCTACAATTTCAAAATAGCAATTCCCATACCGCAAACATCTTGCATCGTTTTTTAATATTCGTTTCACCCCTAACTTTACCCTATTATTGCGACCATTATGTTGCACTCTACAATTTTACTTGCACTTAACTTCTTTCGCAAAAATTCATTTTTTATTGTATCTTTTCTCTTCCTTTCTCTTTCTTTCGCAGATTTTAAACGTATTCCAATATCTAAAATCGTACACTCTCACACACTCTCACATTCGTTTAAATATTACATTGTAACATTATATTCATCTGTGTTTCTTTCAAATCTCTCCCTTTTCATAATCTTTCTCTCTCTTTCTTTCTCGCATTCACTCTCTTATCGAGTCCGACTGCTCGCGAACAGGTTTAGGTGAAATAGGCTATCTGTATATCGAATTCAGAATTTTATATATTTTAAATATACATTAGTTATATCAATTGTGGATTAGACTAGATTACTTGAATTTTAATAAAATTCAAAATGAATTATAAAGTAGTAAATATATGTATGTATGTTCGCTAAATGTATGCTCGAAATACATAGTTAATTTTTTTTTCACAAAACGCATTACATATTTAAATACTCACTGATTCCTGAATAATTGTTATATTGTCATTTCATAATCATTTTGTACGAATCAATTTTTATCTTATTTCTTTTTCTACTGTGTATGTATTTATATCTGATTATACTGAATATATATCGAGATTAAAATATGTATTTTTTTTTATCAATATATAAAGATAGATATAAAAATAAAGATAAAAACGATTCAAAGATCGTATTCTGTCAATAAAACAATTGTTTTATTTCTTCTATCATATCATACGAAAGAATTAAAAGATATGATATATTTTTCAAAAAGTTTACGAAACATAAAATGGTCTTAACAATTCTGACGTCGATTGCACAGTTATCCCACTTCACCCTATTTTAAACAATCGATGGACACATTTTGAGATGCAAACTTTAGACTTCAAGACAAGCACTCAAGACATATCACTGGACGACATGACGCTGTTAAACTGTCATTAATCCGAGCTAAGGAAAATAACCGACGAGTATACAATTAGCCCAAACCACAATTACTCCACTTTACCGTACTTATTACGATTCATCTCTTTTTTTTTTTAATTTTTTTATTTTTGTTGCTAGCTTGCTTATTAATCTCGCCTCTCGACGTCGATTTATTTATTTCTCTGTTGTTTGGATCGTGCTTTCATTAACAATATGCCCGCCGACTTTTGCGTGTAACCGTAAAGGCCCTAGATCATTGAGTCACTCACATCTTTATCTCCCTACTCTAAATCCATAACTCCTGTATCGTTGATACTTTTGGGCTATTCCTTGAATTTTTAAAACATCCCCACTTTTTTTTCATTACAGATCCATCTTTTTGGACCCTTGAGGATCCTTTGATCCCTTTAGGCTATCCTTGGATCTCGGGACGTTCTTAGATCTCTGATACCCCTCCTATTATTCTACACACTGCTCTTGTGAATCTTTAAAAGTCTCGAAGGAAATTATAATCAAATCCTTGGAGATACTTCTGAATTGTTTAGATCCACAAATCTTTCAATTGTCGGATCATAAAATCTTTACATTCGAGACTCTTAAATTTTTGAAATTGTAGATCCTATCAAACTTGAGGAGTTAAATCTTCGGATTTTTTTAATACTCGATAAGAGTCTGGATCCGAGATAAAACTCTAATTTTGCGAGGAAATAGTCGTCTTACTCCTTGCATGAAGATGTGATAAATCTCTCTCATCTTCATCTTTAAAATGTTTCCCCCTGCTCGCTAGAGAATCTCTAGGATCCTTCGATCATCGAAGCCTGAGGACCTTTGAGTCTCGGGTTGTTACGCAAAAATTGACGAGACTATGCAACAACCCTAAATATCGGGTCTCTCGCTTAGCGAGGACATTCTTCGCCATTATTATCTTTTCCCCTTTGTTTATCACACGCCATTATTATCATCATTCTCGTACTATGATCCTTTCTTTTTCTCCCTTCCCTATATCTTACACTGCCAATTTTGCTCAAAGATCATCCTCCTATTATTTGTGTGCTTATTATTTCGTATAGAGAATGAGAGATAGGGTAAAAATTTTTTTGCGCAAGATTCGCGTGACTCAACAACGACCGAGAAAAGGACCGCACTTTTCATCTGAAGGAGTATTGCCACGCAGAATATGCACTTCTCTCCTCATTCCCTCGTCCTTCTTTTCTTACGCTTTCTTTTCCGATTTTCTTATCTTTATCTTATTTTCGTTACATAACTTCTTACTTTGTATTCTTTTATATAATTCTTTTAAGAAAAATTACTTAAACATACCCATCGCATCCAAAAAATGTTTGGTACCGACAGCTTTCTTTAGTTTTTTTTTTTTTATTTTTTAATATATTTTATTTTTTTTTATTCTTCACTCCTTGCAAGTAAATTATTTCAATATACAAAGTATTAATTACTCATTCAAAATATTATATAATGATTACTCGAAATAGCTTTGATTATAACTAAAAATTTTTTAGAGATACTCGACTTCAAAAATATTAATAACTAATAAAATTAAAATTTGCAAAATTTATACTACTGACAGTACTTTCTTCGAAGAGTTCCGAAAATGGGAACTCTTTAAAAGAGGATGATCTTCGAGACGCAACATGTCAATCTCGACCTACAAGGACTTGAAAAATCTGTTATCACACTTCTTTTTTAGTGTGT